CAGCTCTTGCTGATTGGGCTGCACCCACTGACCAGCACCGACTGTCCGACACGCCCCAGTGAGATGAACTTGGTACCTCAGTTGAAAATGCAGAAATCGCTTTGTCTCTGGCTGCAGCCCGACCTTCAGGTCTCCTCTTCACCGCTCTGTGCCCTATTATCCTGGAGGCCCAGTCTCTGTGGCGCTGTGACCTGCAGGTATTGGGAGATCCACAGCTAAAACGCCAGGACCCCCTGGAAGCCTAGAAATGGTCTTCAGACAATCGGTAATAACAAACTCCTCCAAGCTAAAGGAGGTTGTTCGAACCCGTCACAAAGAAGCTAAAAACATTGAAGAAATGTTCAACAAATGCCTAACTGTAATAGACCGTGTAGAGAAGAGCTTCAGTGACCTGATGGAGCTGAAAACCATGACACGAGAAATACGTGATGCATATATAAGCTTCAGTAGCAAATCTGATCAAGTGGAAGAAAGGGTATCAGTGATTGAAGATCAAATGAATGAAATGAAGCAAGAGGAGAAGTTTAGAGAAAAACAACTAAAAAGAAATGAACAAAGCCTCCAAGAAATATGGGACTATGTGAAAAGACCAAATCTACGTCTGATTGGTGTACCTGAAAGTGACAGGGAGAATGGAACCAAGTTGGAAAACACTCTTCAGGATATTATCCAGGAGAACTTCCCCAACCTAGCAAGGCAGGTCAACATTCAAATTCAGGAAATACAGAGAACACCACAAAGATACTCCTCGAGAAGAGCGACTCCAAGACACATAATTGTCAGATTCACCAAAGTTGAAATGAAGGAAAAAATGTTAAGGGCAGCCAGAGAGAAAGGTCGGGTTACCCACAAAGGGAAACCCATCAGACTAACAGCACATCTCTCAGCGGAAACTCTACAAGCCAGAAGAGAGTGGGGACCAATATTCAACATTCTTAAAGAAAGGAATTTTCAACCCAGAATTTCATATCCAGCGAAACTAAGCTTCATAAACGAAGGAGAAATAAAATCCTTTACAGACAAACAAATGCTGATCGATTTTGTCACCACCAGGCCTGCCTTACAAGAACTCCTGAAGGAAGCACTAAACATGGAGAGGAACAACCGGTACCAGGCACTGCAAAAACATGCCAAATTATAAAGACCATCAATGCTAGGAAGAAACTGCATCAACTAACAGGCAAAATAACCAGCTAACATCATAATGACAGGACCAAATTCATACATAACTATATTAACCTTAAATGTAAATGGGCTACATGCCCCAATTAAAAGACACAGACTGGGAAATCGGATAAAGAGTCAAGACCCACCAGTGTGCTGTATTCAGGAGACCCATCTCATGTGCAGAAACACACATAGGCTCAAAATACAAGGATGGAGGAATATATCCCAAGCAAATAGAAAACAAAAAAAAAAAGCTGGGGTTGCAATCCTGGTCTCTGAAAACACAGACTTTAAACCAACAAAGATCAAAAAAGACAAGGCCATTACATAATGGTTAAGGGATCAATTCAACAAGCAGAGCTAACTATCCTAAATAGATATGCATGCAATACAGAAGCGCCCAGATTCATAAAGCCCTTAGAGACCTACAAAGAGACTTAGACTCCCACACAATAATAATGGGAGATTTTAATATCCCACTGTCAACATTAAACGGATCAATGAGACAGAAAGTTAACAAGGATATTCAGGAATTGAACTCAGCTCTGCACCACGTGGACCCAATAGACATCTACAGAACTCTCCACCTCAAATCTACTGAATGTACATTCTTCTCAGCACCACATCACACTTAGTCCAAAATTGACCATATAGTTGGAAGTAAAGCACTCCTCAGCAAATGTAAAAGAACAAAAAGTATAACAAACTGTCTCTCAGACCACAGTGCAGTCAAACTAGAAATCAGGATTAAGAAACTCATTCAAAACTGCCCAACTACATGGAAACTGAACAACGTGCTCCTGAACGACTACTGGGTGCATAATGAAATGAAGGCAGAAATAAAGATGTTCTTTGAAACCAATGAGAACAAAGACACAACATACCAGAATCTCTGGGACACATTTAAAGCAGTGTGTAGAGGGAAATTTATAGCACTAAATGCCCACAAGAGAAAGCAGGAAAGATCTAAAATTGACACCCTAACATCACAATTTAAAGAATTAGAGAAGCAATAGCAAACACACTGAAAAGCTAGCAGAAGGCAAGAAATAACTAAGATCAGAGCTGATTTTTTTTAATGGGCTTCATTGATGTTATTGCAGAGGACATGATTTTTTTTTTTTTTAATGGCCACAGAGTATTCCATGATGTTTATGTGCCATATTTTGTTTTTTTTACTAAATCTTTTATTTTATCTTTGGACACTGGGTCTCGCTTATTGCCCAGGCTAGATTGCCATGATGTGATTTTGGCTTACTTTAGTCTCAGCTTCCCAGGCTCAAGCAATTCTCCCTTACTTCATCCTCTCAAGTAGCTGGGACTACAGTGTGGATTACCATGCCTGGCCACTTTTTCTTTTTGTATTTTCCATGTAGACAAGATTTTGCTATTTTTTTCAGGCCAGTCTCAAACTTCTAAGCTCAGGCAATCCACCTGCCTCGGCCTTCCAGAGCTCTGGGATTGCAGGCATGAGCCACCGCTTCTGACCATACCATATTTTCTTTATCCAGTCTACCATTGATAGGCATATAGGGCCTGTCCATGTCTTTGCTATTGTGAATAGTGCTGCAATGAACATGCATGCGGATGTGTCTTTATAATAATTTATATTTCTTTGGGTATATACCCAATTATCAGGTTCCTGAGTCAAATGATAATTCTCTTTTTAGTTCTGTGAGGAATTGCCACACTGATTTTTACTGTTGTTGAACTAATTTACACTCCCACCAGTGAGTATAAGCATTCCTTTTTCTGTGAAACCTTGGTAGCATCTGTTATTTTTTGACATTTTTAAAATAGCCATTCTGACTGATGTGAGGTGGTATCTCATTGTGGTTTTTCTTTTAATTTCTTTCTTTTTTTTTTTGAGTTGGAGACTGACTCTGACTCTGTCACCCAGGCTGGAGTGCAGTAGCACGATCTCGGCTCATTGCAACCTCCGCCTCCCAGGTTTAAGCGATTCTCCTGTCTCAGCCTCCTGAGTAGCTGGGACTACAGGTGCCCACCACCATGCCAGGCTAATTTTTGTATTTTTATTAGAGACAAGGTTTCACCATATTGGACAGGCTGGTCTCAAATTCCTGACCTTGTGATCTGCCTGCTTAAGCCTCCCAATGTGCTGGGATTACAGGTATGAGACACCGTGCCAGCTTCCTTTTAATTTCTTTAATGATCACCTATGAGCTTTGTTTTTCATATGCTTGTTAGCCACATGTATGTCTTCCTTTGAAAAGCATCTGTTCATGTTTTTTGCCTGCTTTTTAATGAGGTTTGTTTTTTTTCTTATAAACTTGTTTAAGTTCTTATTAATTCTGGATATTAGACCTTTGTCAGAGGCAAAGTTTGCAAATATTTTCTTTTCTTCTGTAGGTTGTCTGTTTATTCTGTTGATAGTTTCCTTTGCTGTGAAGAAGCTCTTTATTTTAAATAGGTCCCATTTGTCAACTTTTGCTTTTGTTGCAATTGCTTTTGGTAGCTTCATCCTCAAGTGTTTGCAGGTTTCTATGTCTAGAACAGTAGCTTTTAGGTTATCTTGCAGGGTTTCTTATAATGTTTTACATTTAAGTCTTTATGTTGAGTTGATTATTGTATATGGTGTAATTAAGGGGTTCAGTTTAAGTGTTCTACATAGTACAAGTTAGTTATTCCAGCACCATTTATTAAATAGAGAATTTTTCCCACAAAAAAAAAAAAAAAAGAAAGAAAATGCAGAAATCACCCGTCTTCTGTTTCGCTCACTCTGGGAGCTGGAGGCTGGAGCTGTTTGTATTAGGCCATCTTGGGCGCCCCCCCTCCAATTCTTTATTACATTAAAAAAATGTATTTATTATTGTTATTTATTTGTTTATTTGCTTTTATTTAATTATTATTAGTTTTTTTTTTGCCCACCTGCCCCAACAAACGCAGCCAGGCCAATTCATTTAGAAAATACCTTTAAGTGCAGTCAAGTGCTGCATGGTTTGGTCAATGATGGACTGCATATATGGTGGTGGTGCCATAAAATTATAGTACTTATTTTTACTGTACCTTTTCTATGTTTAGATAGGCAATTGTTGTTACAGTTGCTTACATTATTCAGTACAGTAACAGGCTGTATCTAGGAGCAGTAGGCTATAGAATGTAGTTTGGTTGTATCGTAAACTGTATCATCTAGGTTTGCATCAATACACTCCATGATGTTTGCATAATGATGAAATTGCCTCATGTTGCATTTCTTAGAAGATATTTGTGTCGCTAAATGATGCATGATTGTCCATATATATGTTTAATGTCTTTACTTAATTAGAATTATTTGTATATTTTGGCATGTAGTTTTTTTTTTTTAGCAATAGGTCTTAGAAACTTTCATGGCAGGACAAACAGTAGTGATTCTTATGATAGACAAAAGAGACTCAGAAGGGTGATAGGGGTAGAGGGTGGTGGATGTTGAGAAGTTAATTGGTTCAGTGTACATTTGGATGATAGATACACTAAAGCCCAGACTCTACCACTACACAATATATCCATGTAACAAAATTACTCTTTTACCCAATAAATTTATACAAAAAAGTTAGGAAAATAGGGTAATTTCTACTTAATTAAAAACTGTAAGGATATAAAGCTTTCTATTTGTAACTAATTCACTTAATAAACTTTACTCTTATGGTCCAAATAAACCACCTTCTAGGTAGGTTTTTGTTTTCATCTCTGTCTGATGATTCTAAGTTGTATTTATGAAATTCTCAAGAATGGGGATTCAGCATACTGCTTTTCTGCGCCTTAGATCCTAACACAGTGCTTGAATCCTGAATGAGTTAATAAACTTTAATAAACAGAAGTGTATCTCTCTGCAGGATTTGTCAGTTTCTTTAGAAGCAGTGTATGGAGAAGCCAAAGAAGGAGCAAATTCTGATGAAATACTTAAAAAATTTTATGACTGGAAGTGTGATAAAAGAGAGGAGTTCACCAATGTTAGAAGCAAAACAGACGCTTCTCTGCAGCGTCTGGTAGCATGGTTCCAAAGAACCTTAAAGGTAATAAAAGCTCCTGCCCTGTTGTGTTTGTAGCATAAACCAGGGAATATATATTTTAAAAATCACATACTTTGTTCAAGAGCTGACATCGTCTACCTACTATGTATCAGATTTAAACTTGCCACCTTACCAGTCAAGGTTCTTTATTAGCTTTTAGTCAGATTGCTCCTTTTATTAGCCTCAAAAAAATCGTATCAGTCTTGTTCCTCCTTTTTCTCAACTTTTCCTGAGGATTGTCCTCTTCCCTCTCTTAACCATTTATTTTCTTACGGTTTGCTATGCATATGTACCTTTTTCCTTTCAGTGCATAAATTTTATGAGGGTAGGCACTTTTTTTTATGCATTCTTATTTCTTTTACATTGTCCGGGGTATAGCTTAATACTCTGCTTCAGGTATTAAGGCATAATGCATGCTGATTGAATTAGATGAGATGTTTCATGTGTTTATTTTTGCAAATGAGGTTTTTGACCTATCGATGGAAGAACCACTGATTTCTGAGGACGCAGTAGATAATATTGATGAAATCCTAGAGAAGACTGAGTCGAGTGTCTGCAAAGAGCTGGAGATAGCTCTGGTTGTGAGTATCGATATTCTTTATTATTGTCGCCTTTGAAGCAGTGTGGTTTCCTTTCATGGTTAGAAAGTATTAACCAATAAGAGAGTTTTTCTTGCTAGTTAGAAGGTGTTAAGACTGATCTTAGCTTTCTTCTAATAGGCTTGTTTGAAAGAGTAACCATGTCAAGTTCTAATCCAAACACAATGCAAAGTTTTATTCTTAGGTGACGTTTTTGTTTTAATAGGACATTTCACATAAAAAATCTGTTTAATTCTAAGAAAACCGCTCTTAATTTGAGTGAACAATCTGTCTAAATCATTTGATTCTTGAGTCTGTCATACCCAATGACTATAAGAAGAGACTCTTTAGAGTTTGTGAAAACTTAAAATCTGAGAGAGATCTGAAAGTTGACACACAAGATGGATTCGTCATCCTCTTTCTTTCACCATTGTGTATATTCTTTGTTACTGTGTCAAGGTAAAAATTAGTGTAGCTACTCCAAAGGGTGTTTTGTAATTTTATTTATTGCTCACTGGGACTCTTTCCCAGTTATTCAGGCTGCTTTCCAGTGTTTCAGTGGTTAGGCTTCTCATTTTCTTGTTTTTTCTTTTTTTTTACTTTTTATAATTTTATTCATATTGGCATTAAAAATACATTAAGAAGTTTTATATTGTTAAATAGTCCTGATTTAGATAGTTTTGTCAGAGTTGGTTTTAGAGGTAGTTGTTAACAGGCGATTTCTAAAAGTAAGGTGTTGAAGGTCTATATGTTGTTTATAGTTCTTATATTTAGCATATTAGTATCCCTGATTTCCATTAATGCCCTTACTCCACACAGCTTTGGGAATAATGGTGTAATAGGGGTAAAGTTTCCCATATGAATGGCTTTGCTTTTTTTAGAGAGACAGTGTCTTGCTCTGTCGCCCAGGCTGGAGTGCATTGATGTGATCCTAGCTCACTGCAGCCGTGAACTCCTCAATCTCCCTGCCTCAGCCTCCCTTGTAGCTAGGACTACAGGTGAATACCACTGTGCTCAGTTAATTAAAAAAATATTTTTTAGGGACTGGGTCTCACTATGTTGCCTGGCCTCCATATGAACATCTTTGATATCTGTCTTTCTTCTGTCTAGGAAAACATTCGTGTTTAAGAACTGTTTTGAAATCATTACAGAAATCCGTTAAAGGCATAATTTTGAAGTTTATCTATTGTTATTGGAGACTTTAGCTCTTTTGGATATTCCTTTGTGTATAATTCTATGTGTGTGATTTCCTTTAGGATCAAGGTGATGCAGACAAGGAGATAATTTTAAATACATATAGTCAAGTACTCCAAAAGATTCGTTCAGAGGAAAGGCTCATTGCCACAGTACAAGCTAAGTACAAGGACAGTATTGAGGTTTGATTATGCTTTCTCTTATTGATCTTATAAATTGATGCTTTGAACTTTTTAACACTTAAATTTTTCTCTTGTTAATACTCAGTGTCAGTAAATTATCTATTATTACTAGAATTCACTATCAACTGGAAATGGTGATTTTTGATGATATAAATATATCAAATTTTAAAATTATTTTAAATCTATTATTTTCTTATGTCTATGAGAACCACAACCATTAACATCATTTTCTTTTTGTCTATACACATCTACTGTAGATAATTTGCTATATACAGAAAGATAAGAAATAAAACATTGCTTATAATTCCCTTAGCCTAAGAGATAATTTTAGAGTAGTTACTGGATGTGCATCTATATGTTTGTGAGCATATATATATATGCATCGCATTGTTTTGTAAGTTATTTCAAACATACTTTCTTCATGTAATGGTATATTATGAACATTTTTCTATATGATTAATGATTTTTCTATACTGTCATCTTGAGTGACAAAATCCTCATCCCTATGTAGATGTACAGCAACATTAACCATTAACCTTTCATGTGTGTTGGACATTAAGGTTACTTCCAATTTTTTCTACCATAAATAACACTGTACATATGTTTGTGCATAATTTTGTTTTGTTTTTATTTCTCAGATTTCTAAATTCTATAATTACTGAGTTAAAAGGAATGGACATTATTAAAACTTGATACATATTTTCAAACCACTTTTGGGAAAGATGATTTCAGTTTACATCCTCACTAGAAATTCCTTTTTCATCCATACTAACAATGTGTGTTTTATTGTATGTCTCAGTTTGAAATACTACTTTTGTCTTTGCTACTTTGAGTGCTGGAACTGATATTCTAAATAGAAACATGGATAAAAGGAAATCTATTGAATTATCTTGTTGAAAAATAAATATTTTCTTAGTATCTCAACCTGAACTCAGTAAATACTAGTTGAATCTTAACAGATAAATAATAAATGATCACTGTTCAATATTTTTCTTATGTGTTTGAAAATACATAACTTTTGTTTACTTAGTTTAAAAAGCAGCTTATTGAATATTTAAATAAGAGTCCCAGTGTAGATCACTTGCTGTCCATTAAGAAGACATTGAAAAGCTTAAAAGCTCGACTGAGATGGAAATTGGTTGAAAAGAATAACTTGGAAGAGGTAAGGAAACAGTTGATTCTTACTGATCTTCATGTGCATCTCATTTTACTTGGTCTCTGCTTCATAAAAATAATGCATAAATACACTCTTTAAGAGAGCCATTACATTCACAGTTTTATATACTTTATCTTGTTTTCTGTGTATATAAATAAAATTGAGATTATAGTAATAGTGTAAAAATTGTCCTATATCATTAAATATTCTTTAAAAACATTTTCCTAGGTTGCCTTGGTTTTTAGTAACGAACGTTTTAGAGTAATTTTAAAAGCTCTTTTGGCTTGGACTGTTAGAATGTTTATTGTAATACCAACTTGCTACATGCAGGTGACAGGGTACTCCCTCAAAGGTAGCGTTTTGTCATAAAGTATTTTTAAGATCATGGTATCTTTTGTTAACTCCCTTTTTATGGATAGATGTAATATTTCTTGCAAGTATTTTAAGTTGTTTTTATATGATAATAGAACTGGAAGGATTAGGATGCCCTAATCTGGACTAACTTCTTCCTTTAGGCTTGAAACTTTGTGAGTAAGATGGTAATACTTTGTGTTCCCTTGAGTATTTGATTTATGTACAACAAGGATCTGTGTTATGCCTTTAATCCAATTTGAATTATCTGTCTTCTACTTCTGAGCACTGAATTGGGAGTGGAGTGGGGACTATTCTAGAACTAATATCATAATCGAGGAGCTTTCTAGTTTTATTCTATTCTGGGCTTTGGGGAAGTTTTTTTTTTTGGTCTGAGTTTTCAACTTTTGGAGAAATCTGACTTTTATTATACTTGAAATTCTGGGATACATGTGCAGAATGTGCAGGTTTGTTAGATAGGTATACATGTGCCATGGTGGTTTGCTGCACCCACCAACCCATCACCTACATTAGGTATTTCTCCTAATGCTATCCCTCCCCTAGACCCCCACCCCTTGACAGGCCTGGTGTGTGATGTTCCCCTCCCTGTGTCCATGTGTTCTCATTGTTCACCTCAAGTTATGAGTGAGAACATGTGGTGGTTGGTTTTTTGTTCCTTTGTTAGTTTGCTGAGACTGATGGTTTCCAGCTTCATACTTGTGCCTGCAAAGGACATTAACTCATCCTTTTTTATAGCTGCATAATATTCCATGGTGTATATGTGCCACATTTTCTTTATCCAGTCTATCATTGATGGGCATTTGGGTTGGTTCCAAGTCTTTGCTATTGTGAACAGTGCTGCAATAAACATACGTGTGCATGTGTCTTTATAGTAGAATGATTTATAATCCTTTGGGTATATACCCAGTAATGGTATTGTCAGGTCGAATGGTATTTCTGGTTCTAGATCCTTGAGGAACTGCCACACTGTCTTCCACAGTAGTTGAACTAATTTACACTCCCACCAACAGTGTAAAAGTGTTCCTGTTTCTCCACATTGTCTCCAGCATCTGTGTTTCCTGACTTTTGTGTATGTGTGTGTGTGTTTGTATGTTGCCTATGTTGTTCTTTTTTTTTTTCTCTTCATTGTTATACTTGTAAGTTCTAGGGTACATGCCCACAACATGCAGGTTTGTAACGTAGGTATACATGTGCCATGTTGGTGTGCTGTACCCATTTACTCATCATTTACATTAGGTATTCCTCCTAATGCTATCCCTCTCCCTGCCCCCCACCCCACAGCAGGCCTCAGGGTGTGGTGTTCCCCGCCCTGTGTCCAAGTGTTCTCATTGTTCAATTCCCACCTATGAGTGAGAACATGCAGTATTTGGTTTTCTGTCCTTGTGATAGTTTGCTCAGAATGATGGTTTCCAGCTTCATCCATGTCCCTGCAAAGGACGTGAACTCATCCTTTTTTATGGCTGCTTAGTATTCCATGGTGTATATGTGCCACATTTTCTTAATTCTGTCTATTATTGAAGGACATTTGGGTTGGTTACAAGTCTTTGCTATTGTGAATAGTGCTGTAATAAACATATGTGTGCATGTGTCTTTACTGTAGCATGATTTATAATCCTTTGGGTATATATCCAGTAATGGGATGGCTGGATCAAATGGTATTTCTAGTTCTGGGGCCTTGAGGGATTGCCACACTGTCTTCCACAATGGTTGAACTAGTTTACACACCCACCAACAGTGTAAAAGCGTTCCTATTTCTCTACATCCTCTCCAGCATCTGTTGTTTCCTGACTTTTTTTTTTTTAAAAAAATTTATTTATTATTATTATACTTTAAGTTGTAGGGTACATGTGCATAACGTGCAGGTTTGTTACATATGTATACTTGTGCCATGTTGCTGTGCTGCACCCATCAACTCATCATTTACATCAGGTATAACTCCCAATGCAATCCCTCCCCCCTCCCCCCTCCCCATGATAGGCCCCGGTGTGTGATGTTCCCCTTCCTGAGTACAAGTGATCTCATTGTTCAGTTCCCACCTATGAGTGAGAACATGCGGTGTTTGGTTTTCTGTTCTTGTGATAGTTTGCTAAGAATGATGGTTTCCAGCTGCATCCATGTCCTTACAAAGGACACAAACTCATCCTTTTTGATGGCTGCATAGTATTCCATGGTGTATATGTGCCACATTTACTTAATCCAATCTGTCACTGATGGACATTTGGGTTGATTCCAAGTCTTTGCTATTGTGAATAGTGCTGCAATAAACATACGTGTGCATGTGTCTTTATAGCAGCATAATTTATAATCCTTTGGGTATATACCCAGTAATGGGATGGCTGGGTCATATGGTACATCTAGTTCTAGATCCTTGAGGAATCGCCATACTGTTTTCCATAATGGTTGAACTAGTTTACAATCCCACCAACAGTGTAAAAGCGTTCCTGTTTCTCCGCATCCTCTCCAGCCCCTGTTGTTTCCTGACTTTTTAATGATCGCCATTCTAACTGGTGTGAGATGGTATCTCATTGTGGTTTTGATTTGCATTTCTCTGATGGCGAGTGATGATGAGCATTTTTTCATGTGTCTGTTGGCTGTATGAATGTCTTCTTTTGAGAAATGTCTGTTCATATCCTTTGCCCACTTTTTGATGGGGTTGTTTGTTTTTTTCTTGTAAATTTGTTTGAGTTCTTTGTAGGTTCTAGATATTAGCCCTTTGTCAGATGAGTAGATTGCAAACATTTTCTCCCATTCTGTAGGTTGCCTCTTCACTCTGATGGTAGTTTCTTTTGCTGTGCAGAAGCTCTTTAGTTTAATTAGATCCCATTTGTCAATTTTGGCTTTTGCTGCTGTTGCTTTTGGTGTTTTAGACATGAAGTCTTTGCCCATGCCTATGTCCTGAATGGTACTACCTAGGTTTTCCTCTAGGATTTTTATGGTATTAGGTCTAACATTTAAGTCTCTAATGCATCTTGAATTAATTTTCGTATAAGGCGTAAGGAAAGGATCCAGTTTCAGCTTTCTACTTATGGCTAGCCAATTTTCCCAGCACCATTTATTAAATAGGGAATCCTTTCCCCATTTCTTGTTTCTCTCAGGTTTGTCAAAGATCAGATGACTGTAGATGTGTGGTATTATTTCTGAGGACTCTGTTCTGTTCCATTGGTCTATATCTCTGTTTTGGTACCAGTACCATGCTGTTTTGGTTACTGTAGCCTTGTAGTATAGTTTGAAGTCAGGTAGCGTGATGCCTCCAGCTTTGTTCTTTTGACTTAGGATTGTCTTGGAGATGCGGGCTCTTTTTTGGTTCCATATGAACTTTAAAGCAGTTTTTTCCAATTCTGTGAAGAAAGTCATGGGTAGCTTGATGGGGATGGCATTGAATCTATAAATTACCTTGGGCAGTATGGCCATTTTCACGATATTGATTCTTCCTATCCATGAGCATGGTATGTTCTTCCATTTGTTTGTGTCCTCTTTGATTTCACTGAGCAGTGGTTTGTAGTTCTCCTTGAAGAGGTCCTTTACATCCCTTGTAAGTTGGATTCCTAGGTATTTTATTCTCTTTGAAGCAATTGTGAATGGAAGTTCATTCCTGATTTGGCTTTCTGTTTGTCTGTTACTGGTGTATAAGAATGCTTGTGATTTTTGCACATTAATTTTGTATCCTGAGACTTTGCTGAAGTTGCTTATCAGCTTAAGGAGATTTTGGGCTGAGACAATGGGGTTTTCTAAATATACAATCATGTCATCTGCAAACAGGGACAATTTGACTTCTTCTTTTCCTAACTGAATACCCTTGATTTCTTTCTCTTGCCTAATTCTAGCTGGTATGAGATCATATTTCATTGTGGTTTTTGATTTGCATATCTCTGATGACCAGTGATGAACATTTTTTCATGTGTCTATTGGCTGCATAAATGTCTTCTTTTGAGGAATGTCGGTTCGTATCCTTTGCCCACTTTTTGGTGGGGTTGTTTTTTTCTTCTAAATTTGTTTGAGTTCTTGGTAGATTCTGGATATTAGCCTCCAGCTTTGTTCTTTTGGCTTAGGATTGTCCTGGCGATGCTGTCTCTTTTTTGGTTCCATATGAACTTTAAAGTATTTTTTTCCTATTCTGTGAAGAAAGTCATTGGTAGCTTGATGGGGATGGCATTGAATCTATAAATTACCTTGGGCATTATGGCCATTTTCACGATATTGATTCTTCCTCTCCATGAGCATGGAATGTTCTTCCATTTGTTTGTGTCCTCTTTTATTTTGTTGAGCAGTGGTTTGCAGTTCTCCTTGAAGAGGTCCTTCGCATCCCTTGTAAGTTGGATTCCTAGGTATTTTATTCTCTTTGTAGCAATTGTGAATGAGAGTTCCCTCATGATTTGCTCTCTGTTTGTCTATTATTGGTGTATAGGAATGTTTGTGATTTTTCCACATTGATTTTGTATCCTGAGACTCTGCTGAAGTTGCTTATCAGCTGAAGGAGATTTTGGCCTGAGACAATGGGGTTTTCTAAATATACAATCATGTCATCTGCAAACAGGGACAATTTGACTTCCTCTTTTTCTGATTGAATACCCTTTATTTCTTTCTCTTGCCTGATTCCCCTGGCCACAACCTCCAACACTATGTTGAGTAGGAGT